GGGTAGAGTAAAACCTTCACCCCGGTTGTTGCCCCTCTCCCCATTCCTCCTGGTCGAGAGTCACTGTTTGCAGCCACTCCGTCTGCCGAGGCTGCGAGTCCTTCGGAGGCTGAGACGCGAGGAGGTGCAGATGCTAGCGGAGGGGAGTCGACCGTGGATCCTGACACAGCTGTCGAGGAAGAGGCGGATGATCACGCTGATGCCTGAGGGCTTGTGTATATTTTTGTTATGATGTAACCAGTTGGTATAGACGTAGTCTTTTGACAAGTATGGATATTGCCCTGCCCTAAGGCAGGGTTACTTTGATTTTTATGATAGCCTGGTACCCTTTTGCCTTATGCATTCTGCTAAGTGCTGGAGTGTGAATAAGTAGAAATGAGGCCCAGTTGGGTGCTTCTATTAGATAGGTGCCGAAGGGCAGAAAGTACAATGGTGGGCTTGAGTCAAGGATCAAGACCGAGGTAGAAGAAAACACAATATCCTAGGGTCTAGGTATGTTTACTTGTAGTAGTATTTGAGATGGTCGGCGTTCCAAGGGTGAGGCAACGTTTTGCCCTTGGGATCCCGAAGCTGATAAGTCCCGGGGCGGCAAACCTTGGTGATCTCATATGGACCTTCCCACGTAGAGCCCAGGGTACCCTCATTAGGATTCTTAGTGGCCAAGGAAACCTTGTGCATGACCCAATCCCCAGTTGTGAAAGCTCGGGGTTTAACTCTGGAGTTGTAGTACTTGGCAATACGCTGTTTGTACGCGACGTTGCACATGTTGGACTGGTCACGAAGCTCGTCGATGAAGTCGAGGTTGAGGGCCAACTGCTCGCTATTGGCCTCGGCCTCGTAAGTGGAGGTTCAGCTGGCCAATCTCCACTGGTGCCACTGCTTCGGTACCAAAGGAAAGGGAAAATGGTGTTTCTCCCGTTGAGGTACGAAAGGTGGTGCGGTAAGCCCAAAGAACCTCTGGGAGTAGCTCTGGCTAACAACCCTTGGCTTTGTCAAGCTTGGTCTTCAGGGTCTTCTTGATAATTTTGTTCACGGCTTCGACCTGGCCGTTGGACTGAGGATGGGCTGGAGAAGCGAAGCAAAGTTTTATCTTGAGGTTGGAACAAAACTACCTAAATTTTGCGTTGTCAAATTACCGACCGTTGTCTGTGACGATGGCGTTAGGGATGCCGAAGCGGCACACGATATTTTGCCAAACGAAAGCCTCAATGCGAGCAGCGGTGATGGTGGCTAAGGCCTCAGCCTCAGCCCACTTAGTGAAGTAGTCGACGGCCACGACTGCGTACTTGACCTGGCCTTTGCCCTCGGGCATAGGTCCAATGAGGTCAAGTCCCCACTGGGCGAATGGCCAAGGACTGACCATGGCTGCTAAAGGTTCAGCTGGGAGTTGTGGGATATTGGCAAACCGCTGACACTTGTCGCACTTCCGGGTGAAGGCTTGGGCATCAGTGTGAAGTGAGGGCCAGAAGTATCCTTGCCGAATGGCCTTATGCGCAAGGGAGCGGGAGCCTGAATGACTACCACAGATGCCTTCGTGAATTTCCTGGAGGACATAGTGGCCTTCCTCTGGGGTCTGGCATCGAAGGTAGGGTAAGCTGAATCCACGCTTATACAAGGCGCCATTAATGATCAGGTATCGGGCGGAGCGATAGCGAACACGCCGCGCCTCAGCAGGGTCAGCGGGGAGCGTCTGGTTCTGCAAAAATTTGAGGGTGGGGTCCATCCATGTTGATGGCGCAGATGAGTGGTGTTCGGGTGCTTGGCTAATCCAAGATTTCCATGTGGATATTGCGGCCAATACCCTGCTCTATGGCTGAGGCTAGTTTAGCCAGGGCATCGGCATGGATATTCTCCGAGCGTGGTACCTGGCTTATGAAATAAGCGTTGAAGGTTGTAAGCAAATGGCGGGTATGTTGGAGGTAGGCTGCCATGGACATGTCCTTGGCAGTGAAGTCCTGGTTGACTTGGTGGACAACGAGCTGTGAGTCGCTGAAAATCTGAATTTGCC